AGACAAAAATAGAAAAGTCATATCTAAGACAAGATTATGGCAGTACTTTGTTCATTAAGATAAAAAAAAAACATCCAGTGAATTTCTCATCCACATGGAAGCACCTTTTAAAAATGCTTTTTAAAGATAATAAAAAAATGGAGTACTAAAAGGAAAAAAATGCTAATATTGTTTATGGAAAAGCTCTACTTCTGCAATTTTCCACTGTCTTGATAACAGAAGCAGCATAGGATTTCAGCCAATGTGTCACCTCTGCAGCAATTCAACAAAACTAACTTCAGTGTTTTTACTGTCTTAAAAATAACCTGTGCCTTCTGCACTCACTCCATCAAGGTTAAGGAGTGGTATTTAAAAGGTTTTCTAACAGGATTGCCTGATTCTTATTTCTGAAAACCTGCTGCAGAGTATAGAGCGCCACCACTTTCTCATATATTGATTATTTTGTGATCCAATAAAAACAAAAACAAAAATCTTGGCAAACATAGTACACACACTATGCATCTTACATGGATTTGTCCAGATATTATGTAGTCCTCATTAGCATTTTGAGATATATTTCTGTATTTATGGGGAGTGTAAAATGATATGACAGAAGGGAAGGAGAGACTTCAAAATGTAATTTCACCTTGTAGCAAACATAACACCCCACGGCACATATGAATGTTTCCAACCAGAAGCCACAGTTTCTACCGCAAACAAAATTTGTGGCCAACTGTAGAAGCTCCTTTGTATACAAGAAGATGAATAATTTATACTTTATGTCCACAAGATAATTATATGTGGGAATAAGTTTCAGTCTCGTGTGATGGGACAAAAAAAAACATGCATCATTTGGGAGAGCAAGGCTCCATCTTAAACATAACAGCAAAGCTTCTTCATCAGAATCAGGTGTATGAGGCCAAAAAAATTATTTTCCATCTATCATCCAAAGCTCTGTCGTTTCATCTCAAGTTCAAAAGAAACTCAATACAATTAATCCCTTCACTAAATTGGACCCCTGCTGCCATGCCGTTCACTGCTGGGTAGAAGTGCACACACCTCCAAATTGCACACACAGTGCTGATGGTTGCTCGGGCGACTGAAAGACAAAGTGAGTTTCTGTCAAAGATCTAGTATTTTATTTCATGATCAGGTGTTTTGGAAAGGAACACTGGGAGGAAAAAAAGGTGATTAATAATCAGTTTACAATGTAACTTAGCAAGTTGTGTAAACTTTCAAGCTGCAGTGCATCTTCAGAAAATCACGATGAGGAGCCCAAGATTAAATTTTGATATCAGAGCAGTGATTACTTGTTTAAATATGCAATGAGCCTAAAGATTAACATTTTTGCACAGCTTGTCACACGAAGTGGTGCACAGCCATCTGTACAAAGACAACCTTCACACTTACCTTTTGATGCAGCTTAATATGATAAAAACAAATACTGGTGCAATCCTGCACCACAGCATGACGGAAACTGTGGCTTGAAGCTCAGAAAACTTTACTTCTATTGGTAAGCTCTACTGTGTGCAACAAACACAGTAGATGTACTGAAAATGTCCTTTATGATTTGATGATAATATATCAGTTGACTAACCTCATTGTACTATCCTATATGAGGAGAAGTTGTTGCTGCTGACAGCTCAAGATAAAATCCATCAAACTGTATGTATCTTTATAGATTACTTACCCTGTGTGGCTCACTTTGCAAATCAACATGAAGTCACACGAGAGAGCGCCAGCAGCCTAGAGGTGCTAAATTAAGTCAACATATTACAGTGACCATGTAACTTTTCTGAGTCTACAGGCTGATGAGGCATGTTTCCTGTGACAATGATAGAATGAGTTTGAAAATAAAGTAAGGTGCACAATGGAGCTGCCAAGCAGATGGCTCCGAGCCTGATGGGAAAACAAGACAAAGACAAAAGAAGTGGTTACACAAACTGCCAGCTCAGATGATGGAAAATGGACACAAAAACTTAAAACATGTAACTCCATGCACACCTATCAGACTTATATAACTATTTTAATGATACACTTCAGAATTTAGATCAACTGATTAAAGCACACAATAATACAACAATAATAGATTAAAAATAAAAGCATACTGATAATATCTCTTGGGCTGGAGCTGCTGGTGAGGTGTCTCAGGATAATCCTGTCCAAGGATTATCTCAGAGACGGGTCAGTCTAAGAGTGATGCTCTTCCAATAAGACTACAGGAAAAAGGACAACTAATTCAGAATAGGAAAATTACACCAATCAGACCTAATCAGGACTTACTCATCAAGGCTTTGACTCCTATAAAAACCATGGGATCCCACCTCCACAGGTGCTAGGTACAAAGTAACCTGATTGGTAACCAAACATAATGACTTGTGGCAATGTGTACCAGATGTCTCTTGCTAACAGGAGATTTCAGGGAACATCCACAAACTCAATAGATGGACCATCTAGTACACTGACACTAGAAACGCACATTTCAAGAGCAGCTGCTAATCTTTTCGGGAGTGAATGGACCAGCAAATTGAACCCAATGTGAAAACATGCAAAGCTACAGTAGACAGACTGTAGAGCTCCATAAACCCCTTTTTCTAAACTTCTGTTATTAACTAATCAGTGGATTCTTTCAAATGACATATGTACCAAAATTCCCTAAATGTTTCGAAGCCTTCTGCCAGAAATGCAAAAGACTGAAGTTAGTTTGTGACAGAATGACAAGAAACCATCCATCATCTGTGCATGATATTATGGCACACAAAGACAAACATTTGGACTTCTACAAATCCCAAACTCCCAATATTTACACCAGTAATAGAGTTTGCTGTCACTGGCTCTACTTCAGGGAGTCAAAGCGTATTATTGCATTTTTTTTTACACTTTCCACAATCCCAGTTTAGGACCCTCACTATTCAGCACATAAAAATTTCCCTTCACAAATGTTCTTTTTTTTTTGTCTCACACAGGACGGAGATTTTATTATGTTATTATGAGCAAACAGCGTCACCTTCAGAAAGTGAACAGCATCAAATATAAATGAAATCAAAGATGTCAAAGTGTTGCCCACATGTTTAGCACAATGACTGAATAGAAAAAGTGATGTGAAGATGGAATAATTTAACTAAACAGAGGCAGCTTTGGGGTTTCTTCAAACACAATTACAGTGAAGAGATGCTTTAAATAAAAAAAAAAACAGCATCAAGTACCTGACTGTCAAAGGACAAATATCTCGTCCCAGTGTGCGTGAAGCAACTGGCTGTGAGTTAATAGCATTTGTAATGTATGGTATTTTTAATCTGAAAAGGCGCTCAAGGACTCTGTTGCTTAAATCTGGATTTTGATTTTCTCCTGACAAATATGTAATAGAAATAAAAGTGTAAAAGTGTGTCTCTAAATACAGATGGGAGAAAAAAACTTCTGCAAACTTAAGAATATAAGATATGACAAACATGAAAAATGTTTGTCATATCTCACTCTGTCTCACTCTGATGAGGTATTAAAACAAGCTGAGGTTAAAAGGTGAAATCTTGTATCAAAATAAATACAAATGATTAAAAGATTAATCAGAACTACTGCCAGAGAAACTGCAGTTGCATTGCTTTCTATCCTGACCAAGGAATTAGGGCTTTTTTTAAATTGAATTCATTGTTAATTCAGAGAAACTCTTACAAAAAGAAGAAAGCTGACGAAATTGAAACAGAAGAGCTGAATGGTTGCTTTAAAAAGAAGTGGTGCTTAAACTCGTTCTTTCTTAGTCAGCCATTCACCTCTGGGAAACATGCGCTGTCATCATTGCTTTATATTCCTGCTAAGGTTGTGCCCAAATCAACCAGACTGACATCCAGCAGGAAGTACTGGGATTGGACTTCAGGTAACGAGGCATAGCTATGTTCTCTGATGAAGAATTCATTGGACCATTACGGATGTCTGGAAAAGGAAAGATGAGACCACAATGAGATGTGTCATGAAAACAATAAGGCATTCTATCTAAAAAAAAAAGCTGTCATGAATAAAGAAAGCTAATAACATTAAGCATTCTTTCCTTTGATCCGGATGATAAAATAAATACCAAAATAGTGAAATTCAGAAGACATAAAATGTTTCTATTTTTTCTTTCTGGTTTTTATTAATTTGGTAAATTGATTAATAAACGTTCTGGAACTAGATGTGCACAAAACTTTACAATAAAAAAATGGCAAATACCAAAAATGTAGCTTACAAAGAATCTTTGTAAGCTAAATTTCTGTTAGTCTCAACACTTTTGATGATGCCAGCAGACTCAGTGAGGAGCTCCTGATTTTACTTTGTTTTACTAAAAGCCCTGAAGATGTAATTTGATAGATTTCTACAAATGTTATTATTTAAACATAATTATATTATCTATTTAAGGAGATATTTAAACATAATATCCTTAAATAGATAATATTATTGGTAGACATTATTGATCTTTGTGTTATGTTTTATAGCTTTTTATGATTTTACGGTGTCCATATTTCTTATAGGTCTATAGTCTATATGCGCAAAGGTGGATAGCGGTTTACCTGGTGAACCTCGGAGAAGCACGTGCACTCTCACGTGAACGGGCACACGCGTGAGAAAGAGGTAAGGTGAGAGAGCGCGCGGATCTCGCTGGATGTTTAAAGGCGCGTAAACGTGCTGGGCTCAGACGGAGGCGCTCAGAGAGGGAGCTGGAGGAGTGTCCAAATGATGTTGAAGTCTCCAGACTGAAGGAGCGCATGAGAGGCTGAATGAAATGGAGATTATGAACAGGAGAGCGCATAGGTGACCGAAAGCAGGAGAATGAGACGGGTCAGTTGAGCCGCTGTTTTCCAGTTTAGATGGAAGGTTTTTACCAGACTGACTGGGGAGATGTTTGCCGTCACACAATGTGTTTTCCTGAGCCTTAGAGATCGAGACTGCCGTTGATCCTCCGTGGGTGTCCAGTAGGATAAACCAAAGACAAAAGTAATGTCTTCTGAAACATCCTGTCCGACCTTTGGAGGCTCGGGCGCGTAAAAAAATCTGAACCGCAGCCGAGCGCGCAGCCATGCGCACCCTTTCCGGCTGTGCCTAGTCTGACCTTCGTGCGTTATGCTGAATGGACCCACTTTCCGCCGCTACGACCCAATGCGACTGGTCGATCCAAGGCACCTCCCGCAACTGATGTCCCTGGAGGACCATGAGCCCACCATGGCGGGAGGGACCCTGGAGCCGCGCAATTCCACGGCAGCGGCGAGCGAGGAGGGTGCCCCGGGTCAGCAGCAGCACTCCTTCCCGTGGGTGGCCACCGTGCTGGCCGGCGTCCTCATCACGACCATCGTGGTGGATGTTATCGGGAACCTGCTGGTGATCGTGTCGGTGTTCAGGAACAGAAAACTCAGGAAAGCAGGTACAGACACAGGGAGCGGTGACAGTATGAACAGAATGAGGTGTGAAAAATCCTCAGTCTCATCACTTTTTCAGCCAATTTGATGCACTTGTGATTTCGTATGACATCAGGAATCCCTGTAAAATTATTTAAATTCCAATAATTAAACAATAAACTTTTTTTTTTTCTGTAGGACTCATTTCAAAAAGTTTTATCTAGTAAAGAATAAAATACAAAATGTTGAAGTTAAAGTCGATGTACACCAAAATGGTATCCCTGATTAATGACATCATTTAGATAAAGTGCCAGGAGTTTTGGATCAAAAGGAAGTTGCTGCTCATTCTCTAACCAGGCAACATGACTGATGAGTCTGGAGTTGATCTTTCCTCTCTTTGCCCTTTTTATTGTCTGCCATGAAGAAAGATCTGCAGCTGATCTGACTCACCTCGGTGATTTCTGAAGGTCTAAACTTCTGAAGCAGATCTTATTTCTCCTGCAAATGAGTTTGTAAACTTGATAGTTACCCCTTTCTGATTAAAAGTCCCACTGCTGTGCACAGTGAAGCGAAAATAATTACAACTAATTAAACAAGAATTCAGAAAGATTATTAACTCTCATTAATTACCAAACCTGAGAATGATTTGAAGCGGAAAATATCATATTTAAAACACTTACCCAGGATGATCATCCTATCAAAGTTTATTTGACAATATCAGAACAATGATAAGCAATATTTATGAGTTTGGCAGCATGCAAATAGTTAGGGAGGCTTGACTTCCATAAACAGGAGCGTAAATCCAATTCATGTCTTTCTGTAACAAATAAGAAATAAAGTGCAATAATGGTCATGCTAATTCCAAAGGCAACAGAGGAGAAACACAGGAGGAGAAGGGCCACATCGCCTCCCTGGAAGCTCAAATCAAGAGGCACTTATTGAGACACTTTGCTCAATCAGTGCTAATGGAGATCAACAGGAGGTTGAACATGCAGCGAGGGTTGTGTGCCAGCTGAGAGCCGCAATTAAATTCACACCTCTGCTGCACAAGCAGAAAAGTGACCATTAAAGTCTGAATGAAACAATATTTCAGGGGAAGCGTGACTTTAAGAGAGAGATTTTTTTTAAATATAATTTGGTTGCATATAAACATTAAATATTTATTACCTGAGTTTTGGTTAAAACACCCATATAACACTTTGAACAGTTTTGTTGTTTTAAAGCAGCTTTAAAGTAAAGTTGAGCCCAGTTTTTGGGAACAATAAGAATTTCTTTTTTATCATAGAGATCATACTCGTGAATGATGCAGAAAATTAAGATATTAGAAAATATTTCATATTCATGCATCAAAAATATGTCCACAAACTTGATCAGATTTTTATATCTGAAGCATTTTTACTTTAAAAGTGGGGCTTTATTGTTTTCTGTGCATTTATTCAGCAGTTAAAAATATATGAGCAGCCAGTAACTCAATACAGCTGATGAGGAGAAAGTTGTGATCTGTGGCTGATTGATCAGTGAGTCTTTGTTCAAAAGATTTGCGTTGCTCAGCAGTTGGGCGATCACTCTCCTTAGAGAGCAGAAGCAGAGAAAATGGCAGAAATATCCACCTCCCAACTGGAAAGGTCAGCTTTCCTCCATGAACTGGTTTAAATGCTCCATGAAGAAAAGTGTCTGACAGGAAATTTCACACATATGAGAAGCTGAGGGGTTCGTCTGAAATTTCTCTCCACCCGTAGAAAATAATAGATACATTTTGCTCTGTCTTGATCCCAATTCATCGCATGAACACAAAACACAAAAAGCACTGAAAAAATGATTAAAAATGACAAAAGACAGATTTAATAGTTTGACTATTTAATGAAGATTTTCAGCCACATCAAAATGTTTTTAAATAAATAAATAGGCTAATGTAGAGATAACCGTCCATGACAGCAAAGGCTAAGAGTGGAATCTTGGAGTTTTGCATGTCTTTATCTCAATTTTTCTAATACTGCTGAACTGTCTCTAAGGCAGTAGATAAAGATAAAAGCCCAGATGTGTCACTTTTTTAATGCTTGTGCTGCTCTGGTTCTATGGATTCTGTCTCTGTACTCCTTGATTCCCAGGGCAAGAATATAGCAACCAAAACTAGAAAACGTCATGGACTGCTTCCTTCTTTTTTATATTCATCCTGTAGCTTTGCTTTCTGTCCTCTCCTCTTATTTGTCCTCCACATTTTCCCCTCATTCATCTCCTCAGCTCATCCTTCAATTAAGCTCATACCTTTCTGTTCTGTCTTTTCTTGCATTTCCAATTTAATTTACCCCTTTAAGACTCTCCTGTTCATTCGTCCTCTCAGGTGTCCTATTTTTCTTTTTCAATGACTCTTCATTGCCTTGTTTCTTCTCTCCAAAATGCAGCTGTTGAATTACTCTCATCATCTCTTCCTTACCATTCATCTGACACACATTATCAGATCATCACAAAACTATTGCTATTGTTCATCATGCAGCTGTCACCTGATCTATGAAAAACTGTCAGAGTACCTTTAGTGTAGAGTAAATCATTACTGGCGTCTTTCAGGAGCTTGACCTGTAATGGTTTACATTCAACGGGTCAGAACACTCAGCTCAGCTCGCTGTTAAATCAGAGAAGAAGGAGGGAGGAGCGCTTTGTGTTTGGCATGGATGGGTTTTGGCTCACTGCCAGATCCCGCCAAATTAAACTTGTTTGCTGTGCCTGAAACCAAGAGCTGCTGCATTTCAGCTGGAAATCAATCTGAATGAGTCCGACAGTAGATCAGCGGCGCTCAACCTTTTCAGAGGACAGTCCCGCCTGGATAGAGTAATCCATAAAAGACTAGGCCGGTTGATGAACTCAAAATATCACCCAATAGTATCTATGAGCATGCATTTCTAATATGCCTCTTCTGTTGCTGCTGCTGCTGCTGACCTCACAGGAAGATATGTGAAGATTATTGTATCAATTGAAATGCATAGAAAAATAAAAATCTGTGACTCCTCCTGTGGCTGTTTCCAATTAGATATAAAATAAAATAAAATAAATTCACTGTTTATTAACATGGGTAGACTGCAAATACACAATTCTATTTCAAATATATTTAAAGTAAACTGTTTTATTCTCCTGAAAACTGATTTTATGACACAAAAGACCAAATATCCATCAGATCCTTATAACCACCTCTTTGCATGGAGATCTGTTAGCCTTTTGCTTTTTCAACCACATTTTTATTTTCTTTAGAAAAATTCAAAATGAATCTTCTTGGGAAAAAAGAAACTAATTTAAATGGATTTGTTTCTGTTGAATATCATTAGTTTAAAATCTTCACTGGATTATCTTCCTATTGTATTCTGATATTAGTTGCAATCTTTATGTCTTGGCTTAATTAACTACCTTTTTCTGGTGGAAAGCAATAATGTGCCAATAATACCATCTGCTTGGTACTATTGGCTTAAACATATTTATTGTTTTTAACTTCTAACTTATAAGGGGAGACAGAAGGAGGTGGGAAAATATATAAAGGCAAGAATATGATGAGCAGCAAGGCTTTCTGATAAACAGTGTCAACGTTTCAATCTTGTCCAAAAGGTTTTAAAATATTCCAGCCTTGGTTTTTATTGTGATCATTAGATGACTAGTGCACTAGTACAGAGTTTTCTGGGCGAACTTGCTCGATGTTAGTCTATTTGCATAAGTACTGACATGAATACGTTTGAAAAACGACATAAAGGGTAGACAGGTTCTGCTGGATTTTTATTTTTTTCTTACAAACCTGCTTTCAGATTTGTGTAAAAACATCTTTTTTTGGAAAAGCACAGGTAGGCGCTTCAATGAGTCCTTTGTCATGCCAGCGGAGGGGCATCCTGACTCAGTCTGTGTGTGGGGTTGCTTTACATCCAAGAGAGTTGGTTTCCTCTCAATTCTAACCAAGAAAACTGCTATGAATGAAGAATTGGTTGAGGACATCCAGCAGTCTGCCGTAGGCGCCAGTGGTCTGCAGCTCATCTCAGTTTCAGCTTTCCTCACGTTGAGACTGAATGAAACCATCTGTGTGAAAAGCGTATATGAAAATGAATTTGCTCTGACCCAGATCCTTACTGAAATCAATCTGCGAAACATTTTCCAACTCCTTTCTAAACCAATTTCTTATGCATATTTTCTTGCAATTTTCAACAATCACAGAACAATGCTTCAAGATTTTGCCTTTTAAGCTACTTCAGAAAAACAGAATCATTCTTCATCTTATTTGTCATTTCTATGGTTATTCACAAATGCAAATTTATCTAATTTAAGACTAACAAATATACCTCATGTGGCTCCCAATGTTACGTACAGTAAAACTCTGCAGACGGTTGTTTTCTCGTTGCAGAGCTGAATCAGAAACTGGAAAACAGTGAGGCAATGGGTTTGATATAGAAATACCACTCACTGAGGGGATTTGTTTGAAAAATAAGCTCACGATTCTTCCTTCACCTTCATTTTCTTCTTTACATCCTTGGAGCTCCCTCTGAACATCTCCACAATGCCCTGTAGCTCTCTGCCTGGGAAGATTATTATGTAAATCAGTCAGCTCTGTGCAGAAGGTGGCCCCGAGTTGTTTGGAGGCATCTGCGATGACCAGATTTAAGCATACACGAGCAAACACACCGACCGGCAATGTGATTAGATTTAGAGGCTTAGAAGAAGTAAATCCATCCATCACAGGATCCTTTTAAATATATCTATTTTTTTATTGTTAAGTGAACAACAGCAGATGGATGCTTTTATTACAAAAGCAGAAAAGAATCAGGACTGTTCCAGCAAAAACACTCCCTAAAACTGCAGAAATCTTAAAAAATGAATAGTAAAAATTGAACCCTGATGTGTAAAGAACAGGATTTGCCTTGCCACAGCTGAATGAAGCCTAAATCTCTTATATTAAAGTGTTGAAAATAAGTAGAAATTATTATACTCTATCCATAATGATCCGTTCTTATGATAAATATTATGTCTTCATATGAAATAGTCACCTCCAAATTAAAAA